ATAAAACATAAAGAAAAGGTAATTTGTTGTTTTATAAGAATATGTGTTATATAAAATTTCTTCATTAAAATTTGTCAGAAATTGGCTGTTAGCTTCGATCAAGTTTTGAGTTTTGGCCCCCTTGTGGTTGAGTTTTCTTTCTGAACATGTCACTCATTTTTACAGAAGAAGGGCTTGTTGATAGCCTGTCTGTGCCATGACCTGGATCATCGAGGTTACAGCAACACATACCTGCAGAAGTTTGACCACCCRCTGGCTGCTCTGTACTCCACCTCCACCATGGAGCAGCACCACTTCTCCCAGACTGTCTCCATCCTGCAGGTAGAGCTCCACTATACTCGTCTCAGAGCACAAGCACAGTGGGAAAAACAATAAATTACATGTTTTATCAATGTCTGGATCCATACATTCATTATTGTTGTGTTCCTCAAAGCATAACTGAATAATTTTAAGTGCTGCTGTCAGTGAAAGAAGTGGAAATCTCCTGCAGCAGCAATGTTTATGTGGTAAAAAGTCTTAAAAGAGACATATCATGCTTTTAAATTATTCTTTTTCATATTTAAATCGTCCAGTTTGGGTTTCTGTAAAGTGGAACTGCAATGCTTTGGTCTGAATTCCTCCTTGTTGTAACTCCACAAGCCCCTCTTCCGCGCCTTTTTCTAAAGTGCGTCTCAGATCAACTCGTTTTGAGGCTGTCTCGTTAAATTCAAACAAGGCGCTTCACACTCTGCCCCCCTCCAGCTTCTACAGCAGGGCTATTTAACTAAACTGCTCCGGGGGCCACAGCTACTGCAGGTCAACAGCTCAGGGGCCGAACATCCAGTGATTAAACTCATTATGTAAACAAACCAATTATTACAAATATCTGTTGCCTTTGAAATAGTTTATTTTGCTGCATTAAATCATGAATACAACATTCAGAACCCTATAAAAGCAGTGATAATAAAACAATATCAAAAAGAAAAAATAACACATTCTGCCTCCTATTTGACACAAATAATATTTTAACATCTCTGATTTGCCAAATTTTAAAACCAATTTTATTTTCACTTTCATAGTTGTATCTTCAACTTGTAGTTAACTGTCTTGAGTGTGCATAGAAATGGTCTTTACCAGGTTGTAGCCAAGATTCTGACCTTTCTGTAGATACCAAACATGTCTATGTTTAACTCAAAGAACTTAAGAGTAATTAAAGTAGAAAAACGGAGGTTTGAGCTTAAGAGATGAAGGAACCAATTGGCGGGCCGAACTTTGGTCACTCGCCGGCCACATTCAGCCCACAGGCCACCAGTTGAATAGCCCTATTCAAGACCGTTCCATTGTAGCTTATAATGGGGTGACTATATACAGTGGTTTGCAAAAGTATTCATACCCCTTGAACTTTTCCATATTTTGTCACATTACAACCACAAACATAAATATATTT